CTATTAAAAATACAAAAATTAGCTGGGCATGGTGGTACACACCTGTAATCCCAGCTACTTGGCAGGATGAGGCATAAGAATCACTGGAACCTGGGAGGCAGAGGTTGCAGTCAGCTGAGATCTCACCACTGCACTCCACCCTAGGTGACAGAGCGAGAGACTCTGTCGAAAAAAAATATAAAAATAAAAATAAAAACAAACAAAAAAAAACTGAAAGAGTTTTCTTTGTGTAAGCATTATTAAATCCAGGAATTTAAAAAGAACTACACGTATTCATATTGACTGCACTGTAATAAGCTGTCTAAACATAATTCACGGTGTTAAAATTATTTCTCCTCTCTAGAAACCAAGAGTTCCCTTGTTAAAGTGTAAAATGAGATTTTGCCTACTTGTAACTCCTTGTTCTCACAGCTGAACTGTCACAACATGAAAACATTTTCCCACTGGTGAAGCTTTAGATACCTATTTTTCTGATGAAAGAGTACAAAAGGAATGGAGTTACTGACAATTCATACAGTATTCCACACCCTATTAGAGTACGACCACAAGCAAAGAAAATATGTTAACTCTGAAGGGAAGTGGGCAACAATGTTGTAAATGATTGTTGACTTCACTGAGTAGCCTGAAAATGCCCAAGACTGATGTCTATTAGGTTCATAAGAGACTCAAGATTATAAAAAAATTGATTATAAGAGGTCTATTTCTTTGTCCTATTGGGTGAGTCAAAGGTTAATGAGAAGTATACTGAACAAAACATCTCTTGTGTTTTTGCAAAGTATTTCTCATGCAGGATAAAAATGTAAGTGAAAAAGTATTTTAATCTATTTTATTAATTATTTTATTAATTAACTTTTTTTTAAAAAAATAGCTTCACTGAGGCATAATTTATATGCCATAAAATTCACTCATTTTAAATATTCAATGATTGTTTAAAACTTTAGAGATGTGTGACCTTTACTATAATCTAATTTTTAGAATATTTTCATCACCCCAAATCCATTAATTTCTTGATCTACGGTATTTTCATAAATTCATAGAAGCCAATGATATCTAAGGCTACCTATATTCAAAGTTACACAAATTTCTTCAACTGAGCAATAAAAGTACAAAATGACCTCACTTTTAATGACCTTTATAATCAATCCTCTACTCTGGCACTAGGAAGCAAATGTTCAGGTGCTTTCTCTGAAAGTTAAACCATTCTAAGTATTAAGTTATGGCACACTGTCTTGGAAAGAAATTAATTATATTTTTGTTGGTAACACATTTCAGGCTGTTTACACAGCTGACATTTCTCAGCTGTACCCAATTCATGCCCTAAGCTGAGGACTATTTTGTTTTGTAGCAGATGCCTCCACTTGAATGATTTCAATAAGTATAAAAACACCACTGCCTGCAACAAATATAGACTACAAGTACCAGCATTATGAGTTTTTATACTCCTAATGAAACAGGTTTTATGACATATTATTTGGCCATGATATCCTCAGAATACTGGTTATAAGCCATTTTTGGCTAAATTCAAGCACTGGAGCTAGTGAATCTGCTGTGGCATCAGTTAAAAGCAGCTTGGCCCTAAACATCTTTGTTGTATCAAATCATGCAAGCTCAAGGCAACATCCTGCCAATGCGGCAACATTTGCTCTGGGGAGGTGTGGGCAGGCACCACTTCACAGGTTCTGGGACAAGGTGCAAATGGGAATAATGAGGCTAAAAGAATCAAGCCTCTTAATAGGGATTCCCTCTTGTGTTTGCTGTGACTTAAGAGCACCAAGTAGTATTACAGTCTTGGAAACAAACAGTTTTAGCTGCTTTCCATATTTTCCTATAGTAATTAGACTGCATGACAACTCTTTGGCAAAAAATTAAATGTTATAAAAACCATTAAAACATGGATCTCATAAAAGACCATGCCAACTCAATTCAATGAATTAGCACCTAAAATGTATAAGGCACTATTTTACAGGCAGAAGAATTGATCATATTTCATCGACTTTGCCTACCACTCTTGGAACTTGTACCTGATAAGCCAATTTCTGGTTTCTAAAAGGGTGGGGTGAAAAAGCAGTTGGCTTTTTCAACCCTGTGAAGCCTCACATTTCCAGAGTTTCTCTATTATCTTATGTCCCTGCTCTTAAACAAGACAATTATTTTTGCTTTAAACTTTGTATTATGAAAATTTTCAAACATATACAAAGGTTGAGAGAACAGTATAATAAACCCAATATACATATCATCCAGATTCAAAAATGAGTGATAGATGCCTAATCTAAATTAGCTCTATCCTCACTCACTGTGCCACGCATGGGTTATTCTGAAGCAAGTCTCAGACACCACTTCATTTCTTTAAATCAGTCAATTCTTGCCTGTAATTGTAATCTGCAATTATGATCACTTTTTTTGGAGTTATCTTAATTATAATGTTGACTCATTTATCGAGTGTCTACTATGAGCCAGGTACTGTATTTATATTATCACTTATCTTCATAATAGTTCCGCAAATTAGTGAGAAAATTAAAGCTCAGAGAATTTAATGATATGCTCAGGTCTTAATTATTTTCTTCTATTTCTTCTATATATATAATTATTTCTTCTATATATATATAATTATTTCTTCTATAATATTACTATTCCTTGGAATAAGTTATTAGACAATACTAAGAACATTTCTGTTTTTTTCATGCCTCCTCAGGTAAACAGTAGACCATCATGTATGAACATTACTCTTTTATTTTTGTAAAAATAAATGTAGCATATTCTCTATCAAATTTCTCACTCAAGCAAGAAAAACAACAACAAAGAAAAACCAGAAGAAAACCACAAACACATCCCTATCCTTAACCGTAGATGACCAGCCAATAATTCTAATTATATACTATAATATCAATGCTGAAATCAGTTTTTTAGAAACAAATTTAGTACCTAAACCTAAAGATTTTTTTTTCTGGAAATGTTTATTAAAAATAAAGGGGCTTTTGTTTTTGTTTTTCAGATGGAGTTTTGCTCTTGTTGCCCAGTGGAGTGCAATGGCACAATCTCGGCTCACTGCAACCTCCCTTTCCAGGTTCAAGTGATTCTCCTGCTTTAGCCCCACAGCTAGCTGGGATTACAGGCATAAGTCACCACGCCCAGCTAATCTTGTATTTTTATTAGAGACAGGGTTTCACCATGTTGGCCAGGCTGGTTTCAAACTCCTGACCTTGGCCAGGCACAGTGGCTCATGCCTGTAATCTCAGCACTTTGGGAGGCCAAGGCGGGCAGGTCACCTGAGGTCAGGAGTTCAAAACCAGCCTGGCCTACATGGTGAAACTTCATCTCTATTAAAACTACAAAAATTACCCGGGCATGGTGGAGGGCACCTCCCAGATACTTGGGAGGCTGAGGCAGGAGAACTGCTTGAACACAGAAGGTAGAGGTTGCAGTGAGCCAAGATTGTGTCATTGTACTCCAGCCTGGGCAACAGAGCAAGATTCCATCTCAAAAACAAACAAACAAACAAACAAACAAACTCCTGACCTCAGGTGATCCACCGGCCTCGGCCTCCCAAAGTGCTGGGATTACAGGTGTGAGCCACCGTGCCTGACCAAAAATAAAGGTTTTGCTATTTTCTGATTATTAAAGTTTCTGATTTTTAAAATTTCATAATCCACAAAGCATTTTCTAAAGGCATAGTGTTTACATTGTAATTAGATTCAAGTAGCATCTACATAAATTGTCTTAAATTTTTTCTGTCTTCCACAAAGAATTATTTTATATTAAAATATATAGTGGTGGTGCTGGAAGAGGAGTGAACTGTAGTTATTATCCAGGCAGAAATATAATATTTACTAGAAAATATTGAAAGGTAATTCAATTCTTAGGCATAATCATTATTTCAGTATTGATCATTACAAGATGTTTATAAAGTCCCAATTTCTTTTTAGCCCTATTTATTTTAAAAATTAGAATTAACTTGAGATTTCCAGAAACATTCTCATTTTCACTTTTACTTTTTAAAAAAAATTAGATATCTGGTTAGACAAGCAAGTTTGTGGGGAAAAGTGGCCAAAACTGAATTTCAGATGGCCTCCTTATATTGTGAAATTTACTCTCACAGAAAAGAGCAATAAGTGGAAATGAAAAGAGATAGGAAAGGCTTCAAAAATTTACAATAGGAAAATCATTATAAAAAAATAATAAGGGTAAAAATGACAGGCTATTTTCTTCCAGCTTCTTACAGTAGCGAAATTTATGGGTATGTTTGAGATTAAAGTGCTATTAATATTAACTATAAAAATTAACTTTTAAGTGTCAGTCTACTATGAAAAAGGTAGTTTTAAAATTAAATACAATGATTGGCTTGATTTTGAAATATCTGTAATTTAGGAAAGAAAATGTTTTTGCCTTGAACATTTCATTAGTAGTATCTGAATATATTCTTCTCATCAAGAAAAAAATTAAGTCAAATCCAGCAGCATCAAATTCTTGCATTGATAACTGTAACATTACCAATAGAACGTTGACCTGCTTGGCTTGTGATATCTGTTCCAAAAGTGAACTCAAATTATTACAACTTCTCTTACTTTCACATTGTTTGGTTTAGATAATTATTTCCTTTTTTTTTGAGATGGAGTTTCACTTTTGTCACCCAAGCTGGAGTGCAATGGTGCAATCTCAGCCCACTGCAACCTTCACCTCCCAGGTTCAAGTGATTCTCTTACCTCGACCTCCTGAGTAGTGGGATTAGAGGTGCCTGCCACCATGCCCAGCTAATTTTTGTGTTTTTAGTAGAGATAGGGTTTCACCATGGTGGCCAGGTTGGTCTCAAACTCCTGACCTCAGGTGATCCACCCACCTCAGCCTCCCAAAGTGCTGGGAGGCGTGAGCCACCGTGCCTGGCTAGATAATTCTTTCAATGGAAGACTCAATGCATTTGATTGTGCTTATTATCAAAGCCAAATAGACTGAAAGTGGCAAAAGAGAAAGGAGAATATAAAGCTGAAAATATGACTGTCACTCACTGAGTCGTCTGTAGCAGAAGTTGGCCAGCCCTCCCACAATTGGTGGCGAACGGGTATACTTGTAAGGTCATACACATTTCTCTTTACCTATGAAAAGAAAGAGACAGGACAATTAAAATAGAATTTTCACATGACTTATAGTTTCCAATCAATTTATGAGACACACAATGTATTTCCTGTTTTCTTCTAGATTCAAAACAAGAATTTGAAACTATAAAAACTCAAGTCAAAAAATTTTGTAAAAAAGAACAAAACCAAACTTAAAAGCAGATTCTCAATGAAGACTAGATGAAGTAAGAGTTAAGAAACATCCCTCCTCTCTTGTTTTCAGCCCCTGGCTGGCTTCATTTCTTTTCAGTCAGGAAACTTCAGGTACCCAGTTCCCTAAGGGCAAAGTACAATTATGAATTTTTATAATTTATTTAATCGTTAAAATGTACAATGATTCAAAACCAAAAACATATTTCGTTTTTATGTGGAATAGTGAAGGGTAGTTTTATTACAGGGAAGTGGGGCAGGGGCGGAAAAACCTAAAATTGTCTTTACATTTTTTAAGTAAGTTTCAAAGATATAGAAACTTCTTTTTAAAGGAGCACAGGGCCAGGCACAGCGGCTCACACCTGTAATCTTAGGACTTTGGGAGGCCAAGGCAGGTGGATCACCTGAGGTCAAGAGTTCGAGACCAGTCTGGCCAACATGGTGAAACCCCATCTTTAACTAAAAATACAAAAAATTAGCCAGGCGTGGTGGTGGCTCCTATAATCCCAGCTACTTGGGAGACTGAGGCAGGAGAATCATTTGCATCCAGGAAGCAGAGGTGGCAGTGAGCTGAGATCGCGCCACCGCACTCCAGCCTGAGCAACAGAGTGAGACTCTATCTCCCCACCACCGACAAAAAAAAAAAAAAAAAAAAAGTAGCACAGGTTATTTTTTTGAAATCAATCCAAACTAAAAACTATTTCATGTAATATTTACTAACATCAGAGCTGTAGGCCCTTCCTGAAAATCAAATACAAAAAATGCATTAAAGCTGAGAAACTATTTTTCCCAACATGCAACATTATACCTTCTACTTTGAAAGGGAAGGAGGTAAACTTATCAGAATAAAGTGTTGGAAGGTTAAACTCTACATCAGCCAGTAATTAAGAAGTGTTGGCTGGGCGTGGTGGCTCACACCTGTAATCCTAGCACTTTGGGAGGCTGAGGTGGGCGGATCACTTGAGGTCAGGAGTTCAAGACCAACCTGGCCAACACAGCGAAACCTTGTCTCTACAAAAAATACAAAAATTAGCCAGGTGTGGTGGCACGTGCTTGTAATCCCAGCTACTCAAAAAGCTGAGGCAGGAGAATGGCTTGAACCCAGGAGGCAGAGGTTGCAGTGAGCTTAGATTGTGCCACCGCACTCCAGCCTGGGCAACAGTGTGAGACTCTGTCTCAAAAGAAAATAATAAAAATAAAAATAAAAGAAGTGTTACTGGGTGTGGTGGTTCACACCTGTAATCCCAGCACTTTAGGAGGTCAAGGTAGGAGGATCACATGAGCTCAGGAGTTCAAGATGAGCCTGGGCAACATAGTGAGATCCCATTTCTACCAAAAAATAACATTAGCTAGGCATGGTGGCTTATGCCTGTAGTCCCCACTACACAGGAAGCTGAGGTGGGGGCGACTGTTTGAGTCCAAGAGGTTGAGGATACAGTGAGCCATGATCACGCCACTGGACTCCCACCTGGCAGACAGAGCAAGACCTTTTTTCGAAAAAAAAAAAAAGAAAAAAGCAATATGTCTCTCTTCAGGTTTTCTTTTCTATTTTAGTTTTTATTCACAAATAAATTAATGAATCATAACAATGGAGAGATTATCCATTTTAACTAATTCTTCAAGTTAATTATGGCACTATTATCCTACTGTATCAAATGAAGTTAGGATTGAAATGCTCCCTATCATATGTTCTATGTTAAGACTTGAGGCCAGGCATGGTGTCTCACGCCTGTAATCCCAACCCTTTGGGAGGCCAAGCTGCAAAGATCCCTTGAGCCCAGCAGATCGAGGCAGCAGTGAGCCATGACTGTGCCACTGAACTCTGGATGACACAGTGAGACCCTGTCTCAAAAAACAAAACAAAACCCAAAGACTTCAATAGATTCTCATACTTCAACAAGCATCATGCATTTATGTTTTAAAAATGCAGAAGCTTAAAGTATCATGTTGTCCAATTACAGCATTTTATTTTCACATTACCCTTTCTTATACATAATCACATCTAAGTTACCATTCCATTGAAATAGAGATACAAGTTCACTACGGAAAGGAGAAACAAAAAATAAAACAAAAACACAGAACTCATTCTATTTTTACCTCTAATTCACACCTGTGGAAAAATGACTTAGTAAACAAGATCTGAGGAGCTTGGGAATGGCTTGATCTATACTCAATTCAAACAAACAGGTTTTCTTTAGAGTTTCTTAGCAATGGCTAGTCTACCATGCAATATTTTGTTTATAGTTGGTCACATTGTTTGGAAATTTTTATCAGTCATTATCAACCCAACAATTTAACCAAATGTAATTGGGTTAACATCTAACCACTTTCACTAGTTGTTATTATTTTGTTATTTTTAAACATTAGTGTTCTTAACAAGAAAAGTGTTCCACAAACCTAGAGTGTTACATTAATAAAAGATGAAGGCTAGAAGAGGGAGTATGAGGAGTCTTTAGGCTTCAAGGCAAAAGAATTTCTTAAAACTATTGCGTAAAATAATTAAGAAATTATTACTTTAAAATAATTTCTTGAAATTATTTTTGATTATGTTATCTAGATATAACAAACTTTATCAGTTATTTTTGAAAAAAAGCAGGACAAATATTTACATCCTTTTGGAAAGGCGGCAAAGCTACTTTAGCATTGTAAAGTATACACAAATACTATGAGTATACAAACAAATAACTTTGGAGTGGGATTCTTTAAATTCCATCTTAATTCCAAAACACAACAATAAGGTATTATGAAATAAACAGTATTTTCTTCTTTCATTAACTCATCTGTAACTGCACTAAATTGAATAACATTCCTTTGCTATTCTAAGCCTGAAAAGCATGTCCTGGCTATAGTGTTATGTTGGTATAAAGCACAACGCCAGACTGATGTGCTGAACAAAAGTGATCAAAGTTAGAGTAATGTTAGCCATTGCACAAGTATTTGGCTTCATTGTTCTCCCCAGAATGACATCTGTTAAGCAACTTGTCATAGAATAAACTGGCTAATGCAGACAGAACTTGGCTGAGAGAGTCCCATGTAAAGCATATTAGGCTAATGTTTGATTGTTCCAATGCAAAGGCTAAATTCACAGAGTATTCTGAGTTTAAACTAAAAGAATCTTATGTTAAACCACAATCACTAAACAACAATTTAACTGAAAACAAATTTGTTGTTCAAAAATAATTCCATGCATACCAATGCTGTACATATGTAGATGTTATCAGTATATGGATGAAGCACAAGTGATAAGATAGCAAAAGCATCAAAACAGTGGGGATTTTACTAATAGATTACAATTCCATTTTCTTTATTGATGATTATGTTTAATAAAAAATTGAAATCATAATCCTGCAGAGAAGAAAGAAATCCAAAATGTACACAAAACAAACATAAAAACAATTCTGAAAAAAGTTAGTATTCTAGGAAACCTAAATGATAAAATACAGCTTTGTATAAAATGATACAGACGAATTTAAAGTCATCATGGATCAGATGAAGGACACAGTTCTTTCAGAGGAGGGAAGATGAAGAAATAAGAGGAAGAAAGAGGGAGGGGGAATGGAGAGGGAGAAAAGGAGGAAGAAGGGGAAAGGGAAAAGGAGGAAAGAGAGAGAGAAGATGGAGGGTAAAGAGACAGAGAAAAAGAGATGATAGGGAAAGAAAGAGGAGAGAGAAGTGAGAAAGAGAGGAGGAAGGACACTAATTGATTGACTTGGGATTTGAGAGCACTTTAAAGAAGTAGAAAGAACATACACACACAGGCGGGTTGCAGTGGCTGGCATGACCAGCTGCCAATATTGTGCTGCTTCTGATGGAGTTTCATCTTTAGAGTGTGTTAAATTCCAGTTAAGGACAAGTGGCACTTCACAGGGTAACATTTCCTAAGGGCTTTTTTATCTTACACATTTTTTGTTTTTGATCAGCATTGGCTCAAGATCATGCTGAACCTTCATAATCTCTTTAATTCTTGTTTTACATTAAGCTCTAAATCTATGAGATTTCAGACTCCTAAACTATGCAAATGTTTCAATTAGTTCAGAAGGAATTTAATAAATTCTTTGATTACAAGCTGAACATTAAAATTACGTTACAAACTACATTGTATTTAGATCTAGAGTTCTGCATTGACAACAGATTTTCTAATTTGCATTCAAGTTTTTCTAAAGGTATGGTTTAATTTCTTCCATATTGTTTCAGATAAGACAGTCGTTTGCAACTGAGGAAATATATAAATCAGATTAACTTTTAATAGTATAGAATTAATTACTGATTTGTTTCCTTATTATTTATTTGTCATTGCTAATAAACACCTGTTTATATAGTATAATTAATATGAAAAACTAAGTAAGAATCTCTACTTCAAACTTCATAGTTCCTCAATGTCTGTGGAAATTTCAATGTTAAACACAGCACTGGTGAAAAGATTATTTCATTATAACCTACTCAGTATAAAATTATAAAAGTACCTTCATAAGATATTCATCTCCCACTAACTTTTTTTTTTATTCATTTAAATTTTCAGTTTTATTTTTTAGTTAAATTTCATCAGAATTTCTTAGGAAAGTAATTCTTAGGAAAAGTTGCTCTGCTAAAGGTTAAACCGTGAAGCTCAGATTAGTCTCAAATAAGTTGTTCTTAACTATTTAAATTGAAAAATATAAAATTTAGTAGATAACATTCTCAGTTATAAAACACCATTCCTTGTGAGCTAAATATCAATCAAACTATTGAAAAACTTTTAGGGAATTTTAAATGTCATTCAGATATTATTCTTGTGAAAGCAAACTAATAAAAAAGTCACAAAGTTTGAGGTGTGGCAGCATACCTTGAGG